GGGGGCGGACCAGGATGGGGTGAATAAGCCGTTTGTTTGTCCCCTCGGCTGTCCTCCCTGGCCTTGCCTGGTGCTTGGTGCCTGGCGTCCAGGGTCACTTCCTTTCATAACGACCACTGCCATCCTCGCATTAGCATTTTCACCGCTGTGGGGGTAACACTCGAGTGTGTGTGTGTGTGTGCTTGGTTTCTTGCTCGCTTCGGGCCTTATTATGCAGGGACTTGGGAAGACAGAGAGAGGGGAGCAGGGCCGAGACATCGACCTGACGTCGCTGAGATCCACCATGCCAGCCAGCGGCCCTCTGCAGGTTAGTGCACCCCAAAAAGAGAAAGAAAACTGTGTGAAAAAAGAGAGAGAGAGAGGCCGGTAGAGACAAAGGAAGACCAATGTGATTGCCGTCGTGATACAGATGCATCTTTCTGTCTGTTTAGCAATGGCCTCTCCCTCTCTTCCTTTCTGTTTCTCCCCTCTTCCCTTCACTCTTTCATCTCCCTTCCTCACAGTCCTGGCCTATCCATGATTCTAAATTGCTGCTCCTGTCTTAGCTTTGCCACAGAGCTGCGGTATGTCCTGCCTATGTGAGAGCTGATGATCAGAGGGTTGCTGTGCGGCGCGCTGTGTCCGTACTCTATTCTGAGACCAAGTTACGATCGCAACATCCATCAAATACCAATTAGGGCCTTGGTGCAAAGACTAATAAAGTCCTCTAATGCAGCCAGTGGTCAACAGAACAGGGACTCACTAATGCCAACAAAAAGAGGTCAAGGTAGGGTTGAGGTTTTGAGAAGATGCTTCTTTTTTTCTTTCATCAGCATAAACATTTGAAGGCCTTTTTGTTTAATTTATAAAGAATACATTTGTAGTTTTTTGAGTTGAGCTTTTAAAACAGTATTGGCCTACTTTCTTTCTTCAAATAATCCTCTGACTGCCTCTCTAACACACACACACACACACACACACACACACACACACACACACACACACACCCTCCCTGGTGTCTGTTGCGATTCATCTTCTGTATCAGTGTCAGGGCCAGCAGTGTTTCTGCCCATCAAACCAGCAGGGCTGTCAGTTACTGGTATATTTAGCCACACAGTCTCCAGTGAACAAAGTGCTATTATTCAAGAGTAAGTGTGTGTGTGTGTGGGGGGGGGAAGCTTGTTGTAAATTAATAATAAAAACAATCACAAAGAAACTTACTAACAAAGCTATAAACAAAACTTTGAGTGACGTTTTTAATTTTACCCAATAGTTACGCTACTCAGTAAAAATATCTGTAATTTGACTTCCTGTCAGCAGGATGACAGTTGCAGCAGCAGTACGAATTTATTCAGCTGCAAAAATAAGGTTGCTTCTCGCCAACCGCGTCCAAATGTACCTCTCATGAATGCTGGTTCTGTTCATTCATTTAACAGAACACACAGTTACTTTCAATCCCTGGATTTCCCTCTTGTGAATCACGTTTGCGTGTCAGTGAGACCTTCAACAAAATGATCATTTATGAAAATGCAGTTTGTATGTAATGTCGGGGATAATTTGTCACAGTGATTACGGTGACTAGAGACAGCTGTTACAGTAGCTGTATGTTTTAGCAGCAATTAGCAAAAACTAAAAAACATGGATAACATGGATCGTTAATGATGATAAAGACCACCACGACTGTTGGCAGAAGCCTACAACACCCTACATCACAGATTAACAGCTGACGGCGTGCAGCACCATTGGGTCACCATCAGCCACGAGCTGTGACAGTCATGCTCCATCACGTGGCTCAAAACTATTTTTACGGTCACGGACGCCAAGTCCCAGCCACAACTATTTCAACCCATGTTTCCTTAATTATATGTTGGCAGATATGAAGAGAGAAATGTGCGATCCCCAGAAAAGCGGAAATGACAGGATGCATGTGCACGTGTGTTTAAGAAACCGCTCTCACAGCGTGATACACATCCTGTCTGTCAATGCCAGATGACGTTAGCGGTTTGTATGTGTGCCTGATTGATGCTATCATCACTACATTGCGCATAAATCTTTGCCATATTGTTTATACCGACAGATGGATGGATGGCTTGCCCCTGTACTTACAGTTTAAGATGCAGCTGGTGTAGTAGTGCAGTATATTACCGGTGACAGTGTGAGAATACCAGCCATATACTGTAAATACATATTTGTCGTGTGTCACACAGGACTTTAAACACAGTTTGATGATGGTGGTGTGTCACTTGGACTTTGAATGTGTTCCTCAGCCTCTGACTTCACGACATCTTCTCATCATCCAGACATAATGCCCTCAGCATATCTTCAAATCAAGTACAAAGGAAACCGTGTAATTGAGTGAAATTGGATTTATGAGGTTTTTTTTCGAGCAGCGCCTGCGCGAAGCTGCCATGATGAATCTATTTCTATGGTGCGAAGGCTTTACACCTCCAAGTCACTCTCTATGTATAGAGCACAGCAACAGGGCGCGGAGCGGTGACACAGAATTAATAGGAATCACACAGCCTCTCCAAGCATGGAAGCCATGACTCAAAGACAGAGAATGGTCACGGAGGAAGGCGGATTCTTTGTGCTTAAATGATGCTTTAAAAGATGAGAACTCTTATCTGAAGTGTCCTTCAGATAATCAATAATGTGAAGTATCCTGAAGGCAGACAATGGAGACAATCCTCTTGTGTAAGAGGTCACCATTTGACGTGCTTGGCCTGCAACATGAAGCACCTGTTTAAGAGTTACTGCGCCCCAGGAAACAGTCAGGCTTGGCTGCCAACTAGTGGAGACAACGTGTTCTTTTCACACACTTTACATCACAGTTGACGACGCCCAGCTGTCATCATGGCGTCAGAAGTTCAATGAACTTTCAACTCATTTCCTCCATACAAGAGCTTGTGTGGGTTACCTTTGTGCAATAATGTGCTATATCAATATGTGGATGCACAGGCAGTACCTACAGGCAAAACCAAGTCAAGTCACTGTTGGTTTACATTGGTTTTGTTGACAAAAAGAACATCAAAGAGACACAGATTTGGTGTAGGTTTTCTATGCACTTTTTGTGATAATAATCATATTAACGAATGATGATCAAGATAATATGTCTACATGTGTCATAATAACAATTGTCACTGTAATCAACCGCATGCTCTTGTTCCATCTTTCCTCTGAATAACAACTTGTTTACCGCGACAGTTTGTCTTTTATCCGTCTGTTTTAGTGTCTGCCGCTGTGTGTCCCTCCATGACCATCGTCCCTCTCATCTTCTTCCCACTTCTCTCACCTCCCAGAATACATTGCTGCCTCTCTTTGACGTTATCTGTGTTTGTGTGTGTGTGTGTGTGTGAGTGTAACATCTTCTTGGCCCCTACATGGCAGATGCCACATTCTGAGTGTGGCTGTGAAGTACGAGAAAGTCTGTGTGTGTGCATGTGTGTGTGTGTGTGTGTGCATATGTGTTTGTGTGTGTGATTCCGGGAACTTTCATCCTACACTCAGCTGAGCTTCATCTTTAAATGACTTTTTGAGTAACAGGCTTGTGATGCAATATTTGCTGCATATGTCGAAAACTGTAGTACATATGTTTCAGTCTTTGCATGTTTAGACAGAAAAAGTGTGTTGTGTGAGTATACATTGTACTGTAGTATCCAATATCCAGATAACCAGATTGTTCCCTGTTGTGATTATGTTTAGTTCCCACTTGTCAACAGAATATAGCATACAGTGACTTGCTATCAGGTTTGTTTTCACTCACTATCGGCTCATGGAGTCCCTCAGTTGTTATGGAGATGGGTCTGTTGAGCTCTGTCGGTATTTCGATTTGATGTCATAGCACTTAAAGGACTTGTTGTCCCCTTTGGCTTAAAGGTAAGGAAGTTCATCTTGTAGTTTGTCAGTTGCTGTTGTGCAGCTTTCAACCTGATGAAGACTGATACGGTTGAAAGCTTTGGTAAAAGTCTGTAAGTGGACATTGAGGTGAGAGTGTTTTGCAAAACTATACTTTTTAAGATCATGTTCTAGTGTATGACTAAGTCAGAAGTTGTTTTTACGGTCAATGTACATTATTTTACATCTTTCGTTCTACTTTTTTATGTTCTTTCTTCTATTCTGTCCCCGTTTTCTGTCTTCTCGACCGTCATTCTTTCTGGCCTCATGTGTTTTCTTTTCATTTTTGGGGGGAAATGACAGCCGACTCGGTCTGAATCTGAAACAGATTTTTTACGGTTGGGTGCCGTTTGTGTGCATGCGTGTGCTGAAACGTGAAAAGACTTTTAGAAGCTTTTGAGCATGTGCAAAAAAAGCCATGACAAGTGATACCAGACGAAACTTTAGATCCCACCAGATATAAACAATTTGATTATCACACACACACACACACACACACAAACACACACCAGTCTCTCTGTCTCCTGCTCTCTCTCTCTCTTTCACAAACCCACAATCATCATGTCACAGAGTGAAACAGCAGATATAAAGCACAAGTCTGCTTCTTCACTTCCACTTGAGCAGGATTCAAAATCTTGATTCCAAAGTCTCCTTGAATGGTATTTCTAAGTAAAAAGACTCTGCATGATATATATTTCCTTAGGACATTATTTGTCTAACAAACCAAAAGATTATCCTAAAAACCTCGAGCTCATTTCTTGCTCCTGAAATAAATCACTGGCTGCAGCGTTCGGCCAAAAGTGCTGTGACACACTTTTGTTCTTCATCCACTTGTTCCAGTCGTACGTGCCAAGAAAGAACAGGAAACCCCCTCTCCGGTGCCGAGGCTCCCCTGCTGGGATGCTATAACTCACAACGCTAACTCTCACACACACACACACACACACACACATAATTCAAAAAACGCACACTTGACTTACAAATCCAAGTTCTATATAAATCACTCTATTCACAGACTTTTCTTCACCCTGCTCATAAAAACGTATGTAGCTGTTAAATGGTTTTTCTTAGAAATCATAAAGATGCATTTATTTTCAGAGCATTGTGTGTTGCCTATCAACTGCGCATTGGTTTGAGGTGCAATACACTTCCTTCAAATCTGTAGGGCATAGAGGTCTAGTGTGCCGTGTGCTATGCTTGGATCAAAGCCAAACACATATAGAGACACAGCCACACACATCTGTGGAAAGACAAACACACAGAACTAGTAATAAACATGTACAATGCTTTAGAGGCTGTGTGTGATGGGGGAACAATGCATAAAGTCTGTGCGTTAAGAGGTTAATGCTCGGACGCAACATTGATATCAATATTCTCATTTCATTCTTGGAAAAAAAAGTGAGAGGAAGTTGTAGAAATGAAGAAAAATAGGGT